TTTCTGTATTGCTTTATTGCATTTAAATGTTCAGTTATTTTTGTTATAAGAAAAATTTTATTAAACCTGTTATACTGTATTATGACAGCACTTTTTTAAACTAAATTTCAATATCGTGATAATACCGAATACCGTGATAAAAGAATTAGCAATTAATCGCAATATGAAAATTTGATACCGGCATATCCCTAACCACAACAGCACAATATCTGGGCCTATTTCTGAGTGTGCTTACAATCATTTACCATGGGGGAAAAAATGCATTTTTAATAAATTGTCATGCAATTTTAATGACCATTGATAAATATTAATGGTCAGTAAAGTTTCTCAATCATTGGCAGGTGTGGCATAAAAGTTTTGTGCCCTGCATTCAAAACACGTGGCAGGGCAGTACCAATACACAATACAATACTCACATGACACTCTTTAACAATAAGAACACTCTTCCCTTTTATGCACAAACAGCCAGAAAGCAAACAATCTTGCATGCTAGTGGAAACTGTGTAGCCTGTAAAGAGAGAGAGTATAATTACCACACCTAAACTCTTCAGCACAAGTTGCTAATTAGATCTTTGAACCACCTGCCCTATTCATATGTGTGAAGACATAGTATCACTACAGCAAAGTGCTATACAGACAAGCAGTAATGAGTTCAAAAAGCACAAAATGTCAAAGCAAAATCCCAGTTAACCATTAAACAATTTCTGCCACAGTTTAAAGGGATAGTTCACCCAAAAATGAAAATTCTGTCATTATTTACTCACCCTCATGTCGTTCTAAACCCGTAAGACCTCCGTTCATCTTCGGGACACAAATTAAGATATGTTTGATGGAATCTGAGAGCTCTCTGACCCTCCCATAGACAGCAAGGGTCCGTACACGATCAAGGTCCAGAAACGTAGCAAGGAGATCGGTAAAATAATCCATGGGACATCAGGGGTTCAACCATAATTTTACTAAGCTACGAGAATACTTTGTGCGCAAAAGAACAAAAATAACAACTTTATTCAACAATTCGTCTTCTCCGTGTCACCTTGGTGCCATTTTGGAGAATATCCACTGACCCAAGGTGACACGGAGGAGACGTATTGTTGAATAAAGTCGTTATTTTTTTTCTTTTGCGCACAAAAAGTATTCTCGTAGCTTCATAAAATTACGGTTGAACCCCTGATGGCACATGGATTATTTTACCGATCTCCTTGCTACGTTTCTGGACCTTGATCGTGTAAGGACCCTTGCTGTCTATGGGAGGGTCAGAGAGCTCTCAGATTCCATCAAAAGTATCTTAATTTGTGTTCCGAAGATGAACGTCTTACGGGTTTGGAACGACATCAGGGTGAGTAATTAATGACATAATTTTCTGGGTGAACTAACCCTTTAAGCACAAAATTCAGTTTGTTTTTTTTCCGTGTGAGCAAAGTCCACATTTGTATATATGTAGCCTATGTGAAAACGACTCGTCACACCTGTTAGCCTTGCTTGACCACTGCAAGCTACTGTTTACAATACTGTCTTGATTTTGACGGAGTTATAACTGAATTTCACTGCTTGTAGGATTGTTTCCCTTTTTTCAAAGCGAGTAAATGATGTGGCTATACTACACTTGCTTCTTCCCTCCCAGGGCAACAACATTTACACATAGTTGTGCTTTAGAGTGTATGAAAAAGGGAACAAACATTTGTTACACAACCAAGTGACACATTCAAAAAGCAAGTAGTGGAGCATTCAAATAGGACAGAGAGTGCAACTGGAATACGTTTGAGAGAGGACATGAGAAGTTTTGGGTGTCCTCAAGCTCAGTACAGGGCAGTACAAGACAGGGCGGGTTGGGAACAGATTACATCTGACCAATAGCAGCTGGTCTCTATCAGAAGGGCAGAACTGTGTCCCTTAAGGGCTGGAGGTCAAATAGGGAAGTCTGCCAACATAAAGTGTTTGACAAGCAGAATCACAGAAACAGCATAGTTTGGCCAGCGCAACTGTGATTTGTGCAATATTGTGCAACACAAGTTAATGTGAAATTTAACCACAACAGCAGTATCTTCAATGCAATCTCAAACTGAAAACAGAATGTTATTTGAACTCTTTATTCCACGGCCAAATCAATACAGTGGTTATTTAGAAAAAAACAAACAAACAAACAAACAAATAAATAAATACTGAAACATTAAGAACTGACAATACCAAAAATAAATAAATAAAAATAATAATAATAAATAAAAAATTGTGCTGATGCAAGAATAGTTGCAAAACCGGCTGTACTGAAAATGATAGATCTGCTTTGTTGTTTTTGTGCATGGGAAAAACAACAGGATGTTTTCTGTTGTCTCCAAGTATACATAGGGTTTAATAAAGGATAATAACTATAGTTTGTGTGTGTGTGTGTGTGTTTGCACCTGCAACACACCTGCACAAATATTACATGTTTATTTTTATTTATTTATTTAGTCATTTAGCAGACATGTGTGCGCAGAAAAATCACGCCAGACAAATGGCGATTCATTAACGTGAATCGGTTCTTTCAAACAGTTCTTTTCAAATAACTAGTATGAAAACGATTCAGTAATTATTTTAATGTTTGGACTTGAGCATGTCATCACTCATCACGTGGGCCTTATTATGCTATAAAAACATATTAGGCCATAAAGATATCATAAAAGTATCGGTATCGGGCGAGTACTGGAAAAAGTGGTATCGGTGCATCCCTACTTCCTGGTTATGATTTTTGATTAAGCTTTGTTAATAAGGGTGTTTATAGTAATTTCATATGTCCCAATTCAGTGTGTAGCAGCCAGTCAGCTTATAAAAACAAAGTCGTTTAGAACTTAAATATAATTGGCATTTACGCTAGACAATATTACAATATACTTATCTCTAGGGTGGCAAGAAAAGTTTTGCAAAATGCTATTTTTTAAACCAACTCGTTTCATATGCTTGTTGATAAATACAATCAAGTCATACTCATGTTTACTGTAAATCTGTCATTCTCATTACGAGTTTGACATGAGACTATTCTTAGTCCAGTGAGTAGCCTACATGTAGTGAGCGAGTTGCTTGGTCACGAACCGCTAGGACAGATTCAGTCCGATTCGTGAACCAACCATTCGAGGATGTTTCATAAAGCCTAAGCATATCATAGAAACCACCGGCAGCAATTGTCTCTACAATATACTAGTTTACGATCCTTTTAGAAAACGCGCAACCCAGACCGGTTCAACTGATTCATCAAAAAGATCCGATTCAAAAAGAACGATTCGAATCGGACATCAACACAGCAACCAAACTGATGTAAAAACACAGGGCCTAATCCAAACCTCTCATACACAAATACTTAACGTAACTACATAAACTCAGTTTCTAACAATGTCTTTTTTATTTGTTCAATGCAAAGATACTATGAAATATGAATCTTACCTTTGGCGTGACAATCAGCGCAAAACTTGTTTTCCTCTAACGCCAGAAGAGATGTGAGAACAGCCTGATAGCGGTCAATGTCTTTGACTGATTTACCCGTCATCTTTAGAAATCAGTCTCTCACTGATCTACCTGCTCCGTAAATAAATAGTCCAACGCCGCTCAGAAGATGTTCAGATGTTTTTTGCGTTAGTGAAACACACCGGGAAGCGGATCGCTGACTGTCACAAAACCGACTGCCGCTGCAGACGAAGAGAAAAAAAAGACTATTGTACTGCTGGCTTCCGCTAATCTTACCAGGAAGACGAAAAAGCATTGAACCACGGCTCATATAAAAACAACACCATATTCCTCGCTGTACATTCGCTGGTCATTGACACCCAACTTTCCACCCGCAGTATCAGAAACACATCAAGCACGTTCAAGCATTATTATACACTTCAGTATTACTCTTCTCAGCTGCGCTTATAGTCACCGCACTGCCTCTGTTGCGCCTTCTTCTGGTCTTCAGACATGTGTTGTTTAAAACATTCTGTGTCTAAAAGACCGCACAACTAATCCAGCATCAGATAGACAATTGCGGTCGTGATGTTCGCTGTTCAATCATGCGAATTACAACCCTTTTGTGTACTTTCTAGAATTTGGGAAATTGCGCCACCCTGCGGGGAAGAACGACACTGCGGGCATTCATGTTCGTGCTGTCACGCAGGAACATTTCATTACACCAAATACACAAAATAATGTTCTTTTTAGCAGCATCATATGACCCCTTTAAAAACCCGAAATAATATATTATTCAGTGGCAGATCTCACTGACACAGCTCATTCCATATCGGTGTTGTTATCATTAACAAAAACTACAGCTAAAAACTATTGAAACATTTGTGTTAACTGAAATCAAACTGAAATAAAATACAATAGAAATATAAGATTAAACAAAGTAAACTGAATGAAGATAAGAAATGCTCCTGTGGTGACTAAATGAAATAAGATGTTTAATTTGAAGTTACTGAAAAACTAAAACTGAAATAAAAATTCAGGAAAACTAGAAATGTTTAAAACAGACCAAAACTAATAAAATGACCAAAACAAACAACAAAATTACTACAATTTAAACTAACATTAAAACAAAAATTGAAAATATAAAAAATGTAATGTGTTTGACCTGTAATATAAACGTACAGTGTTTTATTTTATTTTTATTTTTTTATATATCTGCCCTGAGAAATATTCACTATAATAAAAAAGTGTGACATCTTGCCTATAATGTTTACAATAAACAAAATTACGTTGATTGTAGACATTTGTCATTAGACTTTGTGGACCACTGCTAGTATGCCAGTGCGGAATTGACTTCACACAACCATTAAAAATCACCTTGAGTTCAAATCACCTGCTAGTTAAATGTTGTAGCAAAAATGCCTAAGATAAGTTTCTGGTGTTGTACTTTTTAGGACTACATGTCCAAACCTCCTAATATCTGAGTATCTGTTTATTTAGCCTCAAAAACAAACAATCCAGTGTCCAGAAGCTGCGTACATATTCAACAATCTATTAAGGTATTCAGAAAAGGGGGGCGTGAGAAACACGCAAATGCAGCTGTGTCCAGTTAGCTTTCTAGAGCTCTGCTGGATGCATGGACAATCAGCAGAAGTCTCCGCCTCCCACTCATGTGATGGCTTCTCAGGTCTGTCCGGTCCTCAGTGCGTTGGGCTCTCTGAGCTCCCTGAGTTCTCAGGGGCTGGCTGTAGGGCTGGGTTACACCTCTCTCATTCCTCTCCTCAGGTCCCTGCCACTGTGTTTTTCTTCCCTGTCCTGGGCAGCACACACACTCACATACACACACCTTTCTTTTCCCTGGATCCACCATCCTGGGCTGAGAAGCCAGGAGAGAGGGTGGCAAGGTTAGGAGGAACCGCTGGGACGATTGGTTTTTGAATAGCGATTCTTCACCATGGCTAGATTCTTCATCATCTTCAGAAGCTTGGTCCTGTTGCAGGCACTCTGCTTGGCCTTATCGCAAGTGGTGAGTTTGGCTGCAGTTATCTACTTTTTCTTGGTGCTGGATGATCTTGAGGTCATGCATCTTGGAGAACATCTTATGGATTTAGATGTGATTCACTGTGGATTGGACTGGATTGTCAGTCAAAATGCCAATGGATAAAGTTAATTTAGATGAAATTTATGCAATTAGTTTACTAGTTTGGTTAGATTACATGTATATTGGAGACTTTTGATACTCAAAGTTGCAAGACTTTTGAGTTTTTTGAACTTTTGAAAGTTTATCCAAGTGGATTATATTGCTCTCTACATCATGCAGATACAAGAGGCCTGGTATTTAACAATAGACTATTTTCAGTCAGTGTTATCTTTTGATTCTGAAAGCTTAAACTATTCAGTTCAGTAAATGAAATGAATAAATGGAAAGCTGCTGAATAAAATATGAAGCTGAAAGTGAACATGAGACAAATGAACAGAGAGAAGAGAAGGTAGAAAGGAGTACAAAGAGGCCATTGAAAATGCACTGCTGCCAGAAGCTGCTATTCAAACAGACAGAACCTGAAACTGCTCTCAGCAGAATAACACATACTTGTCACGTTTAGAAGGACCACCTCAGTCCAATGCTTGCATGCAGCTCATATGCATAAAATGCAATGGATTAAATGAATGTGCATTCATTTTGAGTCAACCACCTTGTCAAGTAATGCATTGAAAAATAGATGTAGCTTTGATGCTAAATGGGGGAGGGTCTGTGTAAACATTCCCAGCCTCTCTTTTCCCACCCCGGATACCCTGATTACACAGCCTCTGCCTTTAATTTATTTTTCATCATAAACCTCGTTCTGTCTATCAAATTTAAATATGTAAACATGTCTGAGGCAGTGTTGTTATTGTTAACTAAAACTTTGGTACACGTCTTTTTTTCAGTAATTGAAATAAAGCTGAAATTAAATAAAACATTCACTTAAAAAACTTAAATGTGGCCTATAGGCAACTGAAATAAGCTAAAGTATTAAAATTAATAAAACTGAAATAACATTAAATTAAAGCTAAATATATATTTTTTTAAATCACATAAACAAAAGCATGTAGGAAAATTACTAAAACTTCAATTAAATATGAAAACTGAAAATATAAAAATTCAAAAGCTAATTCAAAATCTTAATAAATACTATAAAAATCTATAAATAATAGTAAAATAATGCAGGTCTGAGGTCACAAGGAGCATTACCAAACAATATTTGTGCTTGTTTTTATTATCCAAAGCTAGATTTGCATGCTAGAGTGATTCACCTAATTTTGTGAATTGCTAGCAATGCAGCTAATTGCCAGTGATTATTGTCAACAATATGAATATGAATTAATTCTGAATGAAAACATAACAGTTTATAATAAATTGCATACATTTGGCTGTTTTTATGTGTTTCATTTTAGACCGGTCCACCCGGACCGCAGGGCCCCCTTGGTCCCGCTGGTCCCGCTGGAACTCCCGGCGCTGACGGCATTGATGTGAGTATTGGAGCTGCCTGGCTGCACCACAGGTCGAGCTGGTACAAAGACAGTCATTGTGCACCTTCATGAGCCCTGTATTCATCTTCACTACCAAAATCTTGCCAACAGAGGGCGCAAGAAATAAAAATAATCACACAAAAAGGTTCTGTTAGAGGTTGCCTCTTTCCCATGCTGAGAGAGAGCTACTAGATGTTGGTTATTTGATAGAGTTGTGGCCCAGGCTGGATTCAGTATAAAGACACTCAGCAGGATAAACAGGCCAGACTGATCCATTGCATAGCAAAAACAGAAACAGGATCCCCCATGTTCCTCCATAAGCTCTATTATTTCAGGATATTTCGATTTTATAGTCATAAATAGTGATAAATGCATACAGAAATATAAATATATTCATTAACATATTCTTATAGTAGTTATTGAATATAGAATTCTGACACCCAACGCAAAATACTGTAAATCTGACCTTATGAAGGGGTCAGGGTGGATAAGAAGCTTGTTTGTTGGTGGAGTTATACATATCGTTTATTTTCATTTTATTTTTAGATATTTCTTTGACATATTAATAGCATATTAACACGCTAACACGATAACACGCGTATGCTAACATGCTACATTTAGCAGAGGCTGTGAGAGTAAGTTCATGATATACTGTACTATACTTTAATGCTGTTTTTTTTTGTTGCAAAAACCATAATTATTAGTGCAATGACATTTTAGTGATCATTATCTTTGCTATAGAAGCAACCGTTTTTTGTTGTGTGTGTGTGTGTGTGCACGCGCGCGCGCGTGTGTGTGTTTGTGTGTCTGTGTGTGAGTGTGTGCGTGTGTTGTTAGTGATTTGTCCCCATACACTTTATATTGGTTGTCTTTGCTCATGTTTTTTTCATAATTTACAGGGAGAAAAGGGCCCTCCTGGACCACCTGGACCACCAGTAAGTAGTAACAGCAGTTGATATTGATATATTTACACTACCATTCAAAATGTTGTATCAAAATCATACTCCAATAATTGAGAGTGTTTGTCATGTGTCACCACTTTACAGGGTCAAAAGGGAGATCCAGGTGAGCCTGGTCCTGATGGATCTCCAGGGGAGGATGGTATTGATGTGAGTGACACCTACAATTAAGGAATTACAATTATGGAGTTTCATGAGGTTATTGATCAGTCATAATTTAGTTGGGGGGGGGTTCTCCCTAAATTAGTCATTTGGAGGTGAATAATAATGTATATTTCAGTATCCTGTCAAGTTCTCCTCATTTAATTAAAAAAAAAGAAAAACTGGAGCTAAATCTCATTTTCAATCATTACATTTGTTTTGTAATGAACAATGGCATTTAAAATCATGTTCTGGTGAAGGTTATTCACACCTCCACTCTGAAGTGTTGGCGTGAGACTGAGAAAGGAGATGTTAGTCCTAATGAGCAAAACTTTCTCAGTCACATGCTAGGAAGCAAACATTCCTAATTGGATTTTCTGCTTAATCTGCTCTAGAATGTCAATCCCTGTTTTTTTCTCTCTCTCTCTCTCTCCCACTAAAGTGAAATTAATCTGATGGTTTGTGTCTGTTTGTACCGAGGATATACGTGTGTTCGTAGCTTTTGAGCCACTGAGGGACTTTTTTTTTTTTTTTTTTAGTTTTGGCAATGAATGAGAATATGAGCACATGGATCTTTACATATTACTGTAAATGTTCTGCTTATAATAAATGACCTGCTTAAATCTTCACATCACCTTAGAGGTGTTAACATGACCCAGTGAATGATTCCATATAAATAATGATTGCCTGATTATTATTCAGGAGGCTTGTTTTTCTCTGTTATGTCTCCAGGGTTTGATTGGGGCTAAGGGTGAGAGGGGCCCTCGTGGTAATCCTGGACCAAAGGTCAGGAAATCATATTTTATTTTTCTTTATGGATGCAGAGTACACACAATGTATATTCATGCAGATCATCATTTGGCCATCAAATGCACATAACATATCATTCAATGTTTAACAAGTGATAATAGAGGACAACAGCTGAATATTATGAATAACATGATGTAGGCATATTGAGAATATGATGAATAACATAATCTTTTCAGTCATTGTTATTCTAGAAGTGTATAAGAATGGAATGCATCTAATTTCACGTTTTATTGATTTTCACAGGGTCAGCCAGGGCCTAGTGGACCACCAGGGCGAACTGTAAGTATAAAAAATATGTTATGAATTTGTTGAACAAAAAATAATTGTGTAAGACTACCACCTGCAGTTACCCCAGCTATTCAACAGGTGATATTGTAGTACAAAAATAGTAAAATACCTGATTTTTGGTGTTTGAGTATTTCTAAGGACGCAAGGCACTGTATTCCAGTATTAATGGACTACATTCAAGATCTGTTGCAAATTTTTTTCTTTCTTTTTACCTTTAGGGACCTGGACTGCCTGGACTTCCTGTAAGTAACCCAGTTCATAATCTATTTGATTTCCTTAATTTGCTTAATTTACATTTCCTTCCCATTTTACTTCTTTTATTTAGGGCCTGAGCACTGATGGTGCAAAGACCCTCTTGGAATTGCTCTGTTTATTATATTACTGTCATTATATAAACCACATTATTTCATTATAATCATATATAACCAAATTGATTTGTTTTTCTCACATGCAGTTTCAGTGAAAATGACTGGTGCACTTTAACTGTTTGTTTAAAAAAACATTTTGCATGTACAAAAGGCTTTTGCAGTGCAAACCGTACAAAACCTTCTGAATCCTTATGGGATCTTAGCCCACAGAGGTTTTGTCTGGTTTTAGATTTGACAGCACACTCTTACTAATGTATTAGATTAATAAACAAGTTTCACTGTTCATTATCTCATTACAGGGAGCAGCAGGCCCCATTGGGTTTCCTGGACAAATTGGGTCTACTGGGTCAAAGGTGGGTCTCACTCGAATACATCTTCATAACAACATGACAGTATACAAATCTTCCATGGTTAAGAATGCTGTTCATACTCAACCTTTGATACTAGCTAAGACAATTGTTTTTGCTGTAGCTTGAATAGTTAAAAAAAAATCACAAAAGTTCACTCAAACCAATGTAATTAAATGGACCGCTGAACTGATGCCCACTTGAGCTCAAACTCTCATCCCACAGGGTGTCATGGGAAGTCCTGGACCTCCAGGATTACCCGGACCTCCAGGAAAGCCAGTAAGTGACAGCATGTTTCATTTACTGCACTTTGAAATGTAGTCTTCTCAAGTCAAACCACAAAATCCAATTCTATGTATAAAGTTGTAGGGCTGAAAATAAATCAGAACAGTTTAAATTGACATCTCATCTCATAACTACTGCAATTCCGAGCATACGTTTTATTTCATTTTCTGCTTTATTTCATTTCATTTGAAGGCATCCATTTGGGATCTTCTTTAGAACTGCATTACTTCATAAAAATAAACCAAACATAGTTTTTTCTTTCCAGCCACCTGCATTTATATCCACCTTCTCAGTTTTCCTAATCTCATTGTGTCATTTTCAGGGTCCACCAGGAAAGTTTTTGGGTTTAGAGGAAGGCAGTGCTGACTTCCAGGTAAGGTGAATTCCAAAGTATATTTCCATTAAAAAATAAACTAATAAATGATTATAATAATAATAATAATAATAATAATAATAATAATTAAACAGCTTCAAGCCTTAAACCAAATCAGCCAGCTTCAAAATGAATTATAACATTTATTTCATGCAAAAAAAAAGAAAAAGTATTTGGAGGTACAAGTTTATAAGGGAATAAATCATCTTCCATTTGCATGATCAAACAGCAACAGTGTACAAATTTGCAGACTGTAGGCCTACTAAATAAAACTATTGACTACACTGCAAACATAATTTCTTAATGCATTTTAATTAGTCTTTTTGACTTGTTTTTCCAGTAAAAATATATATTAAAAAAAATCCCTGAAATCCCTAAAATCTTTTTACTTTTTCCAGTAAAAACGTATACAAATCCTTAAAATAAGATACAGTACATATATTATATACATGATAAGATGATAATAAAAATCCTAGTAATATGATACATTTAATTCTAAATATGATAGGATGATAATATTTCTGTATTTTAATATTTCATATTTATAGTATAAAATAACATATAATAAGTTTGGACTAAGTTTGAAAATATTCATATAATAAAAACTGTTGTTGAAAATGTGGTTGTAAAGTTGATTAATTTAATTTGTTGTCATTCACAATTATTTATTTGGGCAGGGTGCCCACAAACAATGTGGTCCAAAAAAAAAAAAAAAAGTCCTACACTGTTCATTACTCATCTTCCAAACTGCTCATATTTATACCTTAAATATATCTTTCTTCTTGGCTTTCTTCTTATATTTGTCCTCTCAGAATCAGCTCCTCTCTGTATTTGGTTTCTCTCAGAGTTTGCCTTGTTAGACCTTACACACCCCTTATTGATCTCAGTGTTCATAGCTTTTCCTAATGAGCTTCATTAAATGGGTGCCATCAAAAGCTTCTGTCCATTAGCACCTCTCTGGATCAAGAAGCAGAGCGGGTCCCAGGGGTGTGATCTGCAGCCAGCCTGCCAGGAGTCTGGAGGGATCACGTGGCAGACTGGTTGACTGCTTCTCCTCCGGCCTAGCGTCCAGCTGGAGCCCTGTTCTGACTAGATCAATCCTTATCATCCATTTACTGTAATTAGAGGGCTGGTGGTCTGAGATCTAGTAAAAAAAAAAAAAAAATCCAAGGCCTTAACGCACTTTTTCACCCAGCTTTGATGGTTTGAATTAAACAAATCTGACAGTGATTGTTTAGCCTGTGTTATCTAGAATTTTATACTTTTTAAATCCGATGTGTGTTCTAGTGTCCAACCAACTGTCCACCTGGGCCAAAAGGTCCTCAGGGCCTACATGGAGTGAAGGTCAGTAAGTTAACCTTTTATACTTTCTCAAATTTATTCGTAGTGAATTAATACGACTCAAGACTATTGTTAAAGGATATTTCAAAGGTCTGCAACCACTTTCCCCATGACTGCATTCACAAAATAGCACAGCCCCGAGTGCTTTATTGTTATATAGCACAATAAAAAAAATAAATAAATTAAAATGTTACTTAATTATGTTACTCCTTACACTATGAGTGCACAAGTATTTTGCATCATAGTTGTTACTATACCTGTTCGTGAAACGACCAATCAGCATTTCTAAAATATTTTACAAAGTGGTAGAATTTAATGACTGATCTTGAAATTATTTTCCTCACAGGGACATAAAGGTCGCGCTGGGGTATTGGGAGATCCAGGTAGCATCGGAAGAGTGGTATGTTTTTCTTTCTGATGATGTTTGTTATAATAATAATAATAATAAATTATATATATATATATATACACACACACAAAATACTACTACTACTACTAATAATAATAATAACAATAACACTTACAATAATGTTCCATTTCGTAATATTGCTATCAATATTCTTCTAAAGCATTAATTTTATTTAATGTAATTTTAACATTAACATTATTAAAAACAAAAGTTGTATCGGTTAATATAATTGGATTAGCCTGAGCTAACATGAACAAACAATGAAAAGTTATAATTTTATTAACTAACATTAACAAGTATTAATAAATACTGTAACAAATGTAATGATCATTATTGGTTAATATTAGTCAATACATTAACTAATGTGAACTAATGGAACCTTATAGTAAGGTGTTACCACCACAACCACAACAACATTAATAATAATAATAATAATAATAATAATAATAATAATAACAATAATATGTAAATAAAAAAATTACATTTGTACATTCATTTGTTATTTTGTTAGTCTGCTAAAACATTACGATTGCTCTATTCAAGTTATGGTGTGTACACTTTGTAACCACAGAGGGGCGCATGTGAGCACTCTTCTGAATGATAAAATGACGCGAAAGACGTCCCCTTACAACTTTAAACTTCATAAATCTCTTATAATGTGCAAAATGCAGAGAACAACAAACATACTGATTGGTTGGTAAAGTTAAATAAACAATGTTTATTATTAAGCATCCAGATCATGCTTTGAGGTGCCCCAGTATCTCACCCAAAACACAGCATCCATCAGCAGAGCAGGATTATGTGTTAATGAAGCCCCTCAAGGCATATAACTGCCTCTAATCTGAGTGTGAGTCACAGACTGAACACACTGACCCAGATGAAAGGAAAAAGAGGGCCAGCAGGTACTGAGAAGCTACTGCGCTGTGAATTAATCAGACCTAATGAACCCCACAAGGACATTAGAATGGACTACAGGGACAGAGCGGATTTACCCATAATGCAGAGCACGACTGTCCAAACTCAAGTTGTAAGACTTTGGGTGTTGACTTTAAGATTGACTATCAAATGGAGAATACACACATCTGAAGTGCATTACCAAAATTGTCATATATATTAAAAATAATTTTAGCCACAATATCAAAGTGATAAACCACATAATATCCCAAAATAAAAGTAAGACTCAAGGCCGTTATTATTTGTTCTTCAGAACGTAAGTATCTGTTTCATCCTTGTATTCTCATCCTTAGGGAACAAAGGGTGGAGTCGGCATCTCCGGTGAACAAGGAATACCAGGCCCTCCAGTAATGTATTTATTTCTGTTCTGGTTTGACTTTGGCTTTTTTACCATTTAAGCCTCTGTTGCTGTTACATCATGGCAAGTCATTTTAGCAGTACCTTTTATAAAGGTCCTAAGATCAACTGTGAAATAAAATATCTGCTCTACCACAATAACTTTAGGGTCCACATGGTCTGAGAGGGTATCCAGGAATGGTGGGGCCCAAAGGTGAGACGGTGAGTCACAGTTCCCAAAATATTACTTGTTATCTCTTTATGGATACACAAAATATGATTTTGACTGGTCTGAGGAGATATATGAGGGAATAAAGGGCAGTTGATAATATCAGTTTTACTACTGTTTACTGAAACTTAAAAGTAAAACTATAAACTTAAAAAAAAGTGAAATAAAGCTGTAGTAACATAAAATATAAACATTAGACGGAAAACTTAACTTAAACATTTATAAAAAAACTTTATAAATGTTGCATTGGCAATTAACTGAAGAATAAGTTTAAGCTGAAGTAGTAAATTATTAAAACTTAAATTGATATTAAAATAAATTAAAGCTAAAATATTAAAATATTTTAATATTAAAACTTAACTAAAATAAAATAAAGACTGAAAATATAACAATTAAAAGCTAATTCAAAATGTTAATAAATTCTATCACAGTGTATAAATAATAATAAAATAACAGAGGGGAACCGGAAAGGAGGACATGACTATAAATAATACACATTTAGCATATCTACAACTGAGGGTGGGTGGATTTGGTCCATTAAATATGTGGCTAATTTCATTACACAGTCTTTGTGTGTGAGATGAGACAATCATTTTGCCAGGCGGTTTTACATATAAGCGCATATAGCTTATTTTAGCTTCCCACCGAATTGTACAAACGGGTTGATTTGCATACATGTGTTTTATTATATTCTGAACAAAACCCAGTGGAATGTAAACAAGCATTGCACAACTTCAATTGCATTTATATGACAGCACATCTCCACAGACTGATTTTTTATGACTTTGTTTTACAATCTATAAAAACTTAAAAGTGATTCACAACCTCTGTGACAGGGACCACGTGGTTATAAAGGAATTTCAGGACCGATCGGCATCCCTGGACGCCCTGTGAGTCTGCAAGTCTTGTTTGAATATATTTCATTTTAATAACTGACAAAAAAATACATACAAATTATAATCTTACTGTGCAATGCAGGGTGAAGAGGGACCCCAAGGACCACCTGGAGAGTCTGGTGACAAAGGCGACATGGTAAGTATTAGTAATATTATTCACATCTATTCATTTCATCATTCATTTGTCCTTCTACATGTTAATTTATCAAACTTTTCATCCATTTATATATTAATTCCTGCTGTTGTTCTTGTAGGGAGAGAGTGGTATACGAGGGCCTCAGGGAGTGGTCGGAAAGAAGGGAGAGAACGTAAGAAAGGAGCTGACTAATTTGAATTCAATTGAAAACACGCCCCCCTAAACTTCTGCTCTTAATCTTTTGATTAATGTGCACTGTCAGGGTCTTCCAGGAATTGATGGAAAAGATGGTACTCCTGGCATCCCAGGAATAAAGGTATGGATGGCTCTTTTTCAGCTCTTAAATCAATTCCAAAAGCAGCCATCATTATTCAAGAAGACACTTGACATATGTAAAGTATAATGCACACTCAGACAGAGTGAGCAAGCCTTATTTCATCCTGAAGGGGTTTATTTTTTTTTTATCAGTAATGACTAGTTAACTGTTCATGATCCTGGTTATTATACGCCTACTTACCAATTAAAATAAATGGAAAAAAAAGACCCCAAAAACTGTTGTATCTATCTATCTAATAAAATGATGATGATGATAATAAATTCAAAAACATTATAAAAATATTAATTTCATGAATGCTGCACTGTCTTGTACATTTTTGTTGTTAGGGTGCTACGGGACAAAATGGAAGACCTGGAGCTCCTGGTCTCCAGGGAGACCCTGTAAGTAGAATTTCATACTTCATTATCTTTTCAATATAATATAAGCATCTGCATTAGATTGTGAGGAATCCTTTCCCATCTTCTTCACATCTGTCCATTGTGTTCCCCTTCGTTAAATGAGGGTGATCAAAGATAAAAAAGTAAAAGTTTAGTGTATTTTCTCCCTATTTTGGAGCTTAAACCACCTTGAAATTGCTCCTGCTATTTACTATTCATCATCATCAAACATGACTCTCCTGGTGACTTGGGGTAATGGAGTGTGCTGGTTATGATACAAAACATAACAACGTACCTGTGCAAGCCATAATACAGGCGCCCTCACTAACAGGATGAGTTATTGCAGCCTTGTTCTGATATCAGCACAGAGTAGAGGACGGACATGAAGCTCTCCATGGAGGTCTGCACGGGTCACTACATTCATTCTTCATGCAATTCTTCGTATTTTTTTTAGGGTTTGCCTGGTATGCCTGGAGCCAAGGGTGAAATGGGAGTTAAGGTGAGATCATGCAGTTATTTTATGAATGCCTACATGGTTTTTGTGGAACCATACTAGTTTTTTGATGTCTGTTGATACTATACTATCCATTAGTGCTTCATTCCACCCTTTCAGCAATTTATGTGTTCCCTTTTAAATTTAGGGTGAGACAGGACCCCGGGGCTTTATGGGAATGCAAGGTCTTCCAGGACCTCAAGTACGTCACATCATTCAAGGACAGTTTTATGCATAATCCAAAAGCTTTTTCTGGCTTCTCATTATGTTTCTCGTTCTCTCAGGGAGAGCCTGGTCCTCCAGGTGAACCTGGCATGGAGGGAGTCCCAGGACCAAAGGTCAGTGGCCATCCTCATTGACAAATCATTTCATTAACATTGAAGGAAACTCTCTTTTCTTAACTTTTCGGTTCTTGTCCAATAGGGTGACAGGGGCGAAAGAGGACCAGTTGGGTCTCCTGGTATTGTTGGCTTGCCTGTAAGTTTCTTTATTTTTCAGACATTTCTTTTCATATAATTATTTTTTTCTGCTATAATCAGGGTTCCCAGGGTCAGAAACCCTGGAAATATTGGGGAAGATAAATTTCAACAAAAATGACAAGCAAACAAAAATAAATAATCATAGAAAAAGAAACTGTACAAAATACATTTAAAGTTCCCAGGGTCAGAAACCCTGGAAATATTGGGGAAGATAAATTTCAACAAAAATGACAAGCAAACAAAAATAAATAATCATAGAAAAAGAAACTGAACAAAATACATTTAAAAAACATCTATAGAGTCTATAAAATGTGTCTATAATAATAATAATAATAATAATAATAATAATAATAATATATTTGGTGACACTGGAAGTCTTTATATACAATGACTTTATCTATGAATTATATTTTTATATATTATGCATTATTACAGTATTTTAATGCATTAATAATGCCTTGTAATGCACCTTATAATGCACTTGTATGGTCCCATGAATAATTGCAAAGTTAAAATACAATTATAATACTTATCTTTTTATGATTACACCCTTTAGAAAGCATAATGCAATAAAACACAACATACAATTTCAGATGTAGTAAGGAATCCGCAAATAGGAATACATTTTTATTTTGATTACAATTATGTATTAAAAAATATAATGCTCTGCAACATGGATTATGAATACCTTTATAATGCATTATACAAAAAAATGCAATATCCTATCAAAAAAAAAAGTTCCTATCAACACACACACACACACACACACACGCGCGCGCGCGCGCACACACACACACACATATGTATGTATATAAAGAAATGTAATGAAAAACTGATGAGAATTCATTGCTTAGAAAAATGTGGGATCCATATATATGTGTGTATATATATATTCATGCTCGAAAACCCTCCAATGTGGCTGAATTAAAACAATTCTGCAAAGAAGAGTGGGCCAAAATTCCTCCACAGCGATGTGAAAGACTCATTGCCAGTTATCGCAAACGCTTGATTGCAGTTGTTGCTGCCAAGGGTGGCACAAACAGTTATTAGATTTAGGGGGCAATTACTTTTTCACATAGGGCCAGGTAGGTTTGGACAGCTTTTTTCCCTTAATAAATGAAATAATTATTTCAAAACTGCATTTTGTATTTACTTGGGTTATCTTTGTGTAATATTAAAATTTGTTTAATGATCTGAATCTTTTCAGTGTGACAAATATGCAAAAAAAAATAAAAAAACAGGAAGGGGGCAAAATCCTTTCCACAGCACTGTATACATGCATGTGTTTGTATTTTTATATATATATATATATACATATATACACGCGCGCGCGCGCGCACACACACACACACATATATACAATGTAAACAAAAACTTTTATTTTGGATGCGATTAATCGTGATTAATCGTTTGACAGCACTAATATATATGTTACGCTTTTTGAACATGCTTTCAACTTCCAGATTTGATCTTATTTTTTTTTTTTCATGGGGCATGAATTGAAAAATGTCTGTTATAGGACATTCAAGAATAAGAATAAGACATTCACTAGGTTTCAAAAATGAATACTTCTCATTAATCTACAGTTATTGCTGTTATGATTTTGTTGATAATTTGTTTGTTGATCAATATAATAATATAAAAATAAGGTG